GGTAAATATTAGAGTTTTTGGATGGGGAGGAGGGTAAATATTAGAGTTTTTGGATGGGGCCCCTATAACAACTTTCTTTGAATTGTAACACAGACCTGCTGAACAAAGAGATGGTTACAGTTGCCATCAATCTCATTTTTGTGAACATCAAACACTTCTCCCAACAGTAATGATGTTGTACCATCAGACCAACGAACAATTCTTGCATTGCTTTCTTTAATTTCATTTCCCTCCTCATCCTTTCTGTACCTCCATCGGATTGTGTTTTCAACCTGAAGGAAAGAAGAAAAATATTTTAAAATTACCGCAATATCTAAAGGATTTCATAAATAAAAATTTTCCATGATCCACAATTTTTTCAAAATCTCACACTCCACCCTTCAAAGTGTATGTCTGAGTGAACTAACAAAAGGATTTTACACAAATTCAAATAGACCCCTTATACTTTAACTTGTGGAATTACATTTTCTTTCACAAAGAGCAACATGCACATTACCTTAAGCTTCAGCCTGGCTCTTCCTTCTTCATCTAAAACCTCATCTTCTTCCATTTCATCTTCATACAAAGCTGGGTCAAATGGTTTGTGTTCAATGCTCAAGAAATTTGGCATCTTTACAAAATACAACTCAGAGCCCAGAGAGAATTGACAGTATGGAATAGTGACATCGATTCTTGTTTCTTCTTCCTCTTCTTCTTCATGGGGAATTTCATCGGCATCTCGAGCTTCGATATCTTCACCATCCTCAACTTGTTCTTCTTGTTGTTCTACAAGTCTTTCTTCTTTTTCTTCATGCTAAAAACAATTAAAATTCTACTCAAGACTGTAGCAAAATTCTAAAAAGTGATCGGTCGTCAGCTTCCCAATTTGAGTGCATACAGGAGAGCATATGGCATATGCTTTTTATTAGACTATAAGCATGGTTACATAATTCTGACCTCTTCTTCATCTGATGATAGCTCTTCATCGTCCCCAAATAAATCTGCAGAAGACACTTGAGACTGGAGTTTGGATTTCGTCACTTCTTTCTGTGAGCAAAAAAAATGAACACTCATTTGAAAACAATACCAATTCACATCTCTGCTCCAGAAAAATTTTGAGTAATTTACCATACTTCAAACCTTTAGAGGTGAAAAATGCCACACCAAACAACATAAAACATTTCTCAGAATAAAGACTTGCTTCCTTTCAATGGTTTATACTTGTTTTTATATGTTGCTTTCGCTACATCCCTGCCACTTTCATCATTTACACCCTAACATCAATATGCATATTCTCCACACTGTTCTCTATACATTTCCTAAGGTGCTGACGAGGAGAATTTGTTTAACAATCAAGAGCTTCTTTAGTTGGTGATCATTTCCTTTATTCTTGTGACCCAAGTGATTCAGGGGTAATATTGTAAGGAGAAATTAGATGCTAATCACTCTCTGGGGTCAAAGGATTAATCTTTTCCCCTGTCTTATTTCCCTTAATAACTCAGAATAGCTTGGCTAAGTTCTAAAAATTGTAGATGGAGGGCAGTTACCTTCCCCTTTGGGGTGCCTTGGTGGGTATTGAATTGGGGTTGTAAGGGAATGGGGGAATGGGTAAATCAGTTGCCTGATATACCTCCCCCTTCACTAATAAGCTGATAATAAGCTGATGCACTGGGCTGAGAGATTCAAGATATGGTTAAAATTAATCCTGAAGTGCTATGCATATGGTAATAGATATTTTTGAACGCGTTCAATCCAGGATTAGAGTAAATCAAGTCTCAACAGCCTAGCCTTGATGTAGCATGTCATTAACTACCGCTGAGCAGGGGTCATACATCTATGTATTTAAAGCAAACAGCTGGTAGCTCTTATGTATAAATCTTTCAGTTCTCACCTCATTTTCGTCATCATTTTCATCATCGTCTCCTTCCTCGTCTTCCTCGTTCTTTCCTTGCGCTATATTTGTTCCTTCCTTCGCGTTTTCATCGCCACTCTCCGCTTGCTCTTCACGGTCTGATTCAGACGCCTCGGCGCCTGGTTCACCTTCGTCTTCCCCTTCACTGGGTGAATCACCAAACAGCTCATTTAGCTCAGCATCTCGCTCTGCTCTTTTACTTTCTTTTGCTGATTTGCCTTCGTCTTCGCTGTCCTCCAAATCACTCCCAAACAAAAAGTCTTCCATCGACATTTTGACTTGAAGGAACAGAGAGAAACACGTGGTCAGCGATTTCTAAAGTCTTCAACAGTGTGTTTGTGTAAAACTACCCATTTACCCAGCTTCGAAAATGAAAAGAAAACAGACTTATTTTCTTCATCTGGGGAGAAATTATCTATGATATCATAGGTATTTTTCGTTCAGATTATGTGCATGGGCCGAAAAAAAGTAATTAGATTGACAAAACAGAGCAGCCTTTACCATGATTCACGTTGGTTATGCGTGTGTACCACGCGCGAGAAACTCGAGAATAGCCTCGTTGTAAAGATCCCGCATGTCTCACACAAAAATGGCGGAAGCGACAGGCGAATTTGACGTTGGAGTAGGTGCAATGAAAAGCGAAACAGTCGCGGTTATTCCTGGATTGGGGGACTTACCAGTCTCTGGTAATCAAGTATTAAAACGGAGCAATCAGTCAGGAAACGAAAGTAGTCACACGCCGCCGTGGGAAGACAGCGACGACCCTATGCGAGCAGAAGACCAACCGGACTCTTGGTCGCCGCCGCGAGCGAAGAAGAGAAGGCGATCGACCAAGCGAAAAAGCGACTCTCTTGGAGTAAGGGAGGCGAAAAATCCTTTGATGCAACTGAACGAAATACGGCCTGGTCTTACGTATAATATTACTGTTAAAGGCGGTCAAACACATTGTCCTGTGTTCTTTGTTTCCGTGAATGTTGATGGAAATACCTTCGAAGGACAAGGCTCAAGTAAACAGAAAGCGAAGCACAATGCAGCCGAGAACGTTTTAAAGTCTTTCATTACTCAGATCCGTTCACCAGTCCATCAGCTGATCACAGGAACTCGCGACGTTACCACAGACTTTACTTCCGATAACACTGGATCACTTCTAAACACTTTTGGTAATAGCGATCAACCGATGGAGGATGCAAGTATGAATTCAATTGAATCTTCACTTCCTCCCCTGGGTGTTACGAAAACTGTAAAGGTGCAAACTGAAGCCGGAAAGCATCCAGTTTCGCTTTTAAATGAATTTCACCCGGGGCTTAATTACGAGTTTCTCGGTGAAGAGGGAGAACCAAATGCGAAGCAATTCAAATTTAAAGTAACTATCAATGGCCAAGATTTCTCAGGACACGGTAGCAGTAAAAAGAAAGGCAAGGCTAATGTTGCATCTAAAGCACTTTTTGCATTGTACAACATCCGCACCTTCTATGCATTTGGCCAATCAGAAGCAAGGCTACAACCTGCATACTTAGAACCTCCACCATCAGCTCAACTGGAGCAGGTTGCAGCAGATCTCATCGCTGATGCCGTTCTCGCCAAATTTCAGAGTCTGCAGCCAACTGCAGGGGAACCAATAAGACGCAAAGTTTTGGCTAGCATTGTTATGACAAGTCGAGGTGACAGTGAACAAAAATTTGAGGTCATTAGCCTTGGAACTGGAACCAAGTTTATAAGTGGAGAGTACATCAGTGACCAGGGACTAGCAGTGAATGATTGCCATGGGGAAATAATTGCTAGAAGATCCTTTTTGCGATTTTTGTACTCACAGCTTGAGCTGTGTGCTGAGGGATATGAGGAGGAGTCCATATTTGAGAAGAAAAAGAGTGGATTATTTGGTGTGAGAGATAATGTTGAATTCCACTTGTACATCAATACATCACCTTGTGGTGATGCTCGTGTTTTTTCGCCACATGAGCCTATCATGGGTGAATCTGACAAGCATCCTGGAAGAAGAAAAAGAGGACTTCTCCGAGTGAAGCTTGAAAATGGAGAAGGTAATTTTTCTTTAGGTTATTGTGATCTTGAGAGTATTAAGTTCAAGGAGAGATTCATTAACTCCTTAACTCCCATGAGTGACTAAGATAGAGTTTCTCCACAGAACATTAATACAATATCCACAGACAAGTGATGAGAATAAAGAGAAATATCAATAAGGGGATTACTAGTTGATTCAATGCCAAATTCTCCAAACTAACATCATAAGAATTGTATGACAGACAGTAAGGAGAATTACTAATGAGATCTTGGGAGTGAAAGGGTTAAGTGATCACAAACACAACTGCTGTTACAATTGCCAAAACATTTTTTCATCCTCCTTATCCATGCTGGTGATGGTAACATTTGAGTGATTGATTGAAAGTTGGTATTGTCAAGGAAATGAAGTGTTGCAACAAAATCATACAAGAGTAGTTGGTGAACTTTTTTCTTGCAATCAAAACTGCAGTTTTTGAGCTTGCCTGAGATGGAATTTTACTGAACTTGCAGCGAATGGAAAAACTTCACATGTCATGTCACATGGATGATGTTGGGCAAAAGAAAAAAACCAAAGCATACTCTGACTTCTTTTAACTAAAATATGGTTTGAGGTGAATATTCAGTTACTAGTTAAAATACATAAATATTTCTTACTTTTTTATCCAGTTGGAAAACTGCTTTATTTTACCTTATCAGGTACTATTCCTGCAATGAAAGCTGACACAACCATCCAAACTTGGGATGGTGTCCTCCAAGGCGAAAGGCTCCGCACCATGTCATGTTCGGACAAAGTCTGCCGCTGGAATATACTTGGGGTGCAAGGAGCACTGCTAAGTCACTTTCTGGAACCGATATATCTACAGTCAGTTGTTCTTGGTAGCTTGTACCATTACGAGCACATGTCAAGAGCCATGTATCATCGTCTAGGTGATCTAGAAGGATTGCCTCCTCTCTTCAAACAGAATCGTCCACTTATGAATGGAACAAGTACCCCAGAGCCACGGGCAACAGTGAAGTCACCAAACATTAGTGTTAATTGGAGCGAAGGAGACCAGGGCTTTGAAATTGTAAATGCTACAAAAGGAGTGATTGGAGATGGACAGGCTGTGTCAAGGCTCTGTAAACAAAGTTTATTCAAACGTTTCATCCTGCTGTGGAAGAAACTAAGACCAGCAATTGCAGGGCCATTGTCATACCATGGCGCCAAGGCTGCAGCTGGTCAGTATCAAGCAGCTAAAATGATTGTGATGAAAGGATTTGAAAGCCAAGGCCTTGGTTCATGGATTAGGAAGCCTGTGGAACAAGACATGTTTGAATTCTCTGAGGAGGATCTCTAAACCGAGCAGCTGGAAGTCAAGTTATTGCAAATGTTTCAGAAAGGTAAAATCAGTGTTTAGTGAAAGTAAGTACTTCTTGTACAAAACATTGTATTTCTTACCTAACACTTTCAATTCTCTTCCTAAAAGAAATTACTTAAACTTCAAAATGATTGGAGTTTGTACCTTTTAGATTCAGGTTTTAAAGGGATTATGAACACAGCAGAAAGGAAATATTTTACTGAGATGCATTTTTGGATGTATTTAGATGTAGCACTTAGTAAAAATCTTGGTTATTTGGACACTCAAGTGACATTACAGTTATCATCAAGAATGTGAAGTTTCATTTTCATCTGTTTCATCAGAATGCCTTTTTATCTGAAAAGATCAGATAAGTTTATGCTCTTGCTTGGAAAAAGTTACATATAGGCAATCCTTTATAAAGTCAGTTAAGGTGCTTAAATAACTCCCAGTAAATTAAGCATGTTCAAAGCTTATAGTGATGTAACCATTTTATATCCAAATATCTTATTCATTATCTTTCATGTTTGTACAGGATGTAAACTTGGAAACTTGGTCTAAAGGGACCGATGACTTATAGCTATTTATAAAACTATAAAAAACTGTAGAGTTTATGTAGTTGGATCAAAAATTGTTATTTTTGCTGTTTTCTTTTTCCTAATTTATTCACCTTGCCCAGAATATTTTCACTGACATTAATTTTAGGTTGTGACTTCTCCAATGAATTCAGCTATTATAAACAATAAAAACTGTAGTTTTTATAGTTTGATCAAAAATTGTTGTTTTTTCTGGTTTTTTTTCTCCTTAATTTATCTACCTTTTTCCCAAAATAGTTTTCACCGACAGTAATTTTAGGTTGTGATTTCTCCAATGACTTCAGTTATTATAAAACAATAGAAAACCGTAGAGTTTTTGTAGTTTGATCAAAAACTGTTGTTTTATCTGTTATTTTTTTTTTGAATTACCAACATTTCTCAAAATATTTTTCACTGACATTAATTTTAGGTTGTGATTTCTCCAGCCATTGAATGGTTGACATGCACAGGAAATTATTAAAATGGAAGGTCTGGGAATCAGATTTGAAGCTACTTTTTCTCTCCAATTTTTTTCTTCCTATTTCCTGCCTGTTTAGTAGGGTACGTAAGGAAACGAAATAACAAAGATTCAGTGAGAGTGAACAGAAACACTCCAAAGACTAAAGCTGAGTTTTTATTCAGTTCACTTTTGTTGGAAATTCTATTTACAAAATGTTAACAATTAGTGAGAAGTTTAACAGTGACAGATCCAAGGGAGGGCTGAGTAGGGAGGATTTTCTGCCCCTCCACACCACTTGTGCCCCCTTCTGTTCTAGAGACACGTATGTTTTGAGAAAAGTTATCTCTTGAGTAGTGAGTAACGTTGGTTAAAAGAAAGAAGAATAAAAGACTCAGAAATAAATAAATAAAAAATTAATGTGTGTTAATGATTCAAATATAAACTTTGTTGGAAAGAAAAATTTCATAATTTATCCAACAACACTCCTTGGTGAATCTATTTCATACAAAAATAACAACCTACAATTATTGAAATTCGTGAAAAAACAAAAGAGTATTGCAAATTAACCACCTTTCAATTAAAAAAAAATAAATACAATCAGCTTCGTGTCCTGACAAGCTTTGTAACAAGGACGGTTTATCTTTGATCACGAACTACACTGCTTTACATCTAAAAAGATTTAGAAATGTCTTCTAAGCAGTATGAAACTACCATCAATACTATACAGGTTCAAATACTATTCACATGACGTGAAAAATAAATAACCTCTTTCACCCACACTGTGAAAGGAAACCCCCTCTTGAAAATATTCCATTTTTTCCCTTTGGTGTTTGATTTTAAAATGCTGCGTTTCTAATTTTGGCGACTTTTTCCAGTATAGACACGTGACTTGCAAAAAGAGGAATATTGCCACTGACCCTCTGCCACCGCACTGCGGCCGCGTCGTCTCCGGCCTGTGAATGTGAATCGAAGAATTTTCAAAAGGTTAAAAAAGGGGTTTCGTTGAGAGACTGAGGAGAAGGAGGAGGGGGGGGAGGGGGATTGACGCGAGCTCGTTTCCCGAACAGCGACCGGTAAGCGAGCGTTCATGTATCAAGACAATAAGTGTGTGGTAATAGGTATATGAAAAGGAAAACTTTTCGCCCAAAAAAGGTTGTAGTTGGTTTACAAATTAGCAAAGGTTTGTAGAGCCTTTCCTCACTCCTCCCTTCACATCTTCCGGGCGTTCCAATACAAAAACAACTCACTTGTAGCTTGAATTCACTGAATATTTCTCCGGTGTCGTCGTGGAAATTGACGGCCACTGTTTCCATCCAAGCGTTGTCTGTGTTTCTGGGATCATCAACGTAACCTTTGTACACCTGGAAAATCGCGAAAATAATAGTTATTGCTACGGCCTGGAGCGTATCTTTCCTTCATAGAAAAGGGCAAATAAATTAATCGAGTCACCTCAACTCCGTTATGAAAGAGTCTGTCGATTTGCCGGCTGATTTTCTCTCTTTCTGCGTCTGTGACACTGAGCTTTGCCATTGCCTCTTCTCCAAACTCCGCCTTAAGAACCTGAGTTACAACTTGCCCCGGTTCGACCATACCCTGAAAAGGTAGAAAATGAATGAATACATGAAAGATCGCGTCAACGAACCAACAAGCAAACGAATGAACAAAACAACCACACAACTAATGAAAGGGAAGAACGAGCGAACACGCGAGAATACGATTGGCCAAACGAAAGAGAAATTGAGAAATAAACAAAGAAAAATAAGCGAGCGAACAAGCAAGTGAACGAACGAATAAACGCGCGCACACACAAATGAAATAACAAACAAGGTGAACAAACCGAGAGAGGGAAGGTTTATTGACAAGTGCGACTATTGATAGAAAATGAATGTCAACAAATGTACAAACAGCGACTGCTAAACCCTAATTGAGAAACTTACCCCTGGTATGGCCCACTGACTATTGTCCCTTCTTTGAATAGCAACAAACTCAAGAACTTTTTTCCCTCCGTCTAACATAACACCGCCGCTGGTTCTCTTCCACCTGATAAATATCACACAACAAAATACATTGGTAAAGCTTAACCCACAAGGAAAAAGTGAAGTAACAACACAAGCTTCTTTCTGCTGCGGTAAGAGAACAAACCTGTAAGATAATAGGGATCAAGGGTAAAACAAGAGTATAAGGACGGGAGACACTACTGTCTACACATGACAGGTGTCCTGGTAAAAGTCATGCACGCGGTACCAAACGTAGGAAGTGTAACTAGTGACGAGGGCATGGTCGGCTGCCTAACAGTGTGGCCCCTCTTTACATCGCAACATAGCAAGATGCAGTTTCCATTAAAATTAAAGATATTCACAAGACTGTGGTCTTTTCATTACCGTGTAACAATGGGATCAGCGGCGTGGTTGGGACCGAATCGTCCCAGGAGTCCTCTTCCTACGACGCCCGTGCGGCCCATAGGATTACTGGTGAGAGGAAAAAAGAAGTACCGATCCACCATCTTTTTTAAACAAGATAAAGGTAGGTTTCATGGTTTTGCTTCGCTTAGTGGATTAGTTTCCGGTTAGAAGATACCGGTACGACAGAACCTGTATTTCGTTTCGCTCTGACTTGCAAAATTGGATTGCACGTAAAAGTGAAACTGATTTTTTCCAGAATGAATGTCTTAGCTCTAACTATGCTATCATACAAACTAAAAGGTTTTCACATAGTTAAATTGTCCAAAAATTCTAAAACCCATTAGCGAGACTGCTGAATAATAAATCACGCTAAAAGGTGTCGTGCAGTGATGTCACAGGTCACCCAGCAACCAGTTAATTGTGAATAGTCTCACAACATAAAAATTCTTTCGCATATATACATACAGCGGTAGTCCGTCTTTCACTCGGTACGGTCCCATATGACTAGCACGGTTTACTTTATATTCATCGTCGAGCCTGTTGTAGGCCAGCGCTGGACGAGCTGAAGGATGCCTAAAATGAACAACATGAATAACTAGGGTGAGTAACTATGGTAACATATAAAACACAACACTACATGAACTCATAGGGTGGGTGTGACCAAACGCCTGGCACCCAACGACGCAACCTTTATATTAGGTAATATTTGCTGTTTTTGATGAAGAATGGCTCTTAGATGACGAATGGATTATATAATAATTCAAACCATAGTTGTGTGGTTGTCTTTCTTTCCTAAAATATCACGTTGACCAATCACAACGCGTGTTATATGATGCCATAAAGCAACTTACATGCTCATTAAGTCGTAGTCAGCCCATGGAGGTTTCTTCAGAACAATAGGGGCGGTATAATTTACGGGACTGTAATCTGGTAAGTCCACCTTCGAAAAGAGTTATGTATCAGCGGTAAATACGACAAAATAGAATATGAAAAAAACCAACTTCAGGCCGAAGAAGTAGAACAGTCGACCTACAGAACAGGCGAAACACGCGGGAAAATGCAAGCGCGGAAACAATCGGCTTCAAGCAGAGGAACGCGCGTCACCAGCGAAAAGCGCGGGAAAACGTAACAGAGAAAATAGCATGGGCTACAAGCGGCCACACGTTAACTACGAAAAAAAAAAGCGGGAAGATGCAATTGGAAGCAAGAGCAATGAAACTTGTGCTTCAACAGCCCTTACGGACAGTGGAAAGACTTAAACGAAACGCGTTCGGTGCAGGACAACGCAAGGACGAAAAACATTAACTTAGGCAAAAAAAAAAAGAAAAAGAGCCACTCACTTCCCACGGCACGTTATCATCCGGAACCTGAAATCTCTTCACAGTGGATTGCGGGTAGGGCGTTGCGCGTGCCTTGTGGTGGATGAACGCTGGAGCTACTGGACGAAGATCAAGAATGTTGGCGGGCGCAGTTTCTAAAATGAGAAAGATCAAAATTATTTAGTTTGATTATGAGAACCTTTTCATGGTGGCAAAAGGTAAATATTATAAAAGGTTTCTTGTGGACTTCGACAAGTGATAAAACCGAAAACCCTACTTCTGTTCTAGGCTTTTCCTATTGGGCCAATAAAAACAAGGAATTTGCAGCAAAATGCTAATGAAGTCTAATTACGGTAAGGTGGATTCATTACTAACATTTAACAAAATTACGTCCACTCACCTGACGACGGCATGGAGGAAGTTTGAACCTACAACAATGAAAAATGTTGTGAGCATTCCTTCAATTAAGCACAGTTTTAGAATTATGAATCAGAATTAAACAACAGCTCCATGAGAATAAAGGAAATGATCGCCAACTGAAGAAGCTCTTAATTGCTAAAAAACCCCTTCCTTTTCATTACTGTGGGGAATATACAGAGAAAGGTATGGATAAAACACCTTTTGACTATGAGCTAAATCCACCAACGTCTTCATCGTTTTTAATATCGATGTCACGTTGTCCTCCATTCGCGCCAGTCTCCGCTCCAAAGCACCAGTGTCACGCGTCGGCGGTCTAAAATCTATATTCGGCTGAGCTACTCCGGGGGCGCTCTCTGAGTCCACGGCACTAGTGTCCATGACACATTCCATTATACGGTCAAGCTTAACAGTGGCGTCGTTTACCCTGTTAGAGGAAACAAAGGTAAGAAGGAGTGAATTGAAATCGTTATGAGAATTGCTATGTTCATAACACAACACGACAGCACAAACCTGTCTCCGAGGGTACAGACTCTTTTTTCTAATGTGTTCTTCTCCTCTGTTCGTTTCGTGTGAAGGAAGTACTCTGCTCCCTGAAACTCCCAGTTCTCAAGTTGCTCCTTCTCGTAATCAGTCAATTTAATTTCTTCAAATAAAAATGAAGGTAAAATTGTTTATACCATTGTTTCTACCATAGAAGCGCATGGACCCTCAGCGTCTCTAAACCCTTTGACCCTTTAACCCCGAGGTGTGACTAGCATCTAATTTCTCCTCACAATATCACCCTAAATCGCAGATTAAGGTCACGAAAATAGAGGAAATGATCCCCAACGAAAGACGCCATTGATTGTTGACCAATTCTCCTTGTCAGCACCTTAGGAAATGTAGTGAGAACAGTATGGAGAATATGCTTACTGATGTTAGGGTGTAAAGGGTTAAATGTATTTTTTTCAGTTTTGATTACTGTAAACAACGTTACTACACATAGATACTGATGAATTTTACAATCTCCAGGAGGAGCTTTGGTTGCGTCATAAAAAAAGTTACCTGATTCTACCCTAACGCTCCGTAGTATTCGAGTGATCCCTCCTGGCAATAAATTCGTTAAAGTCCCCCTTTACACTCAGTTAGCGACTCCAATACATACTGACATAATGACTGGTCCCAAATATCAAACCTATCGGTAAATACGTACTCATAGAGCTGACCGAGGGAGGATTTCCACAGCGGCATAGCCGCCATATCCATCGGATGGAGATCAGGACGTGAGAGATGAAGATCAAAGGAGGAAAGAACAGCGGTCTTCCGTGATATTCAGCGATCAGTTCATATCGCTGGAACTTCCATACCTTGTCCGAGTCTTCTTGCACTCTCTCGAAAGTGTAACTAAGAAAAAGCCAAAACAGATATTTCCTCGAGCAAGTTTCAATTGAGTTTCGAAAGTAATCCTAGATTGCTTTACTTCGCTCACTCTTCACGAAAGGGAATCTCGACACAGAATAGCTTGGGTCGTAAAAAGCGATCTAAAATAAAACAATCCAAAGCTAAATGTGGTAACTCGAACACACGCAGCAAGACAAAACACCGACCAAAGTTACAGGAATTAGAGTTTTTGTTTTTCCCAAATTTTCATCACAAGAAAAACCATCCTGAGGCTCTAAAAGAGTGAAAAAACAGGTTAAGAATCTAAATTACCTGAAAATGGCGATGAGAAGATTAAGTAAAAGAACATTTGTAAACAACATGTAGCCAGCTAAGAGCGCTGGCGACAGCCATTTAGCAGTAGGATGAACCTCAAAATACTCTGAGGGCTTTTGACCTGAAAACACAAAAAAAACAACAACAAAAGGTTGAAGCTTTACGTGATGTAACTAAGGCAGAGTCATACTTGCCCTTTGTCACAAAGTTTCATCCAATCACAGCAAGCCTGCGAGCAGGCTGGTGTAGTTATCTATTCTTATAATCTGTTTGCTAAATATTATATCAATATCGTAAAGGAAAAGTTACATTTTAATCACCGAAGAGTAAGAGGGTTGATCCAGCTACCTGAAATTTCTTCGAGAAAGAGTTCTCCGTACATCTGCCAGTAAGGTAGGTCCAGTATTCCACGGATCACCTGATCCCAGGTCTTGGCGAACTGTCCGGGGCCTGGGAATGACACCGCTTGCAGTGCGATTCCATAAGCGATAATAAATATGGCCAAAATGATTACAAACTGCTTCAGATCCTCAAGCTATGGCAAAAAATAAAAACAAGAAAAAAAGAGGTATTTAGAAATTGCTAACGTTGCAATAACACGAAGCATTAACTAAGAGTCAAACGTGAATAAATTAAAGGGGCTTTTAAGGACCTTAACTAAGGGTATCTTTTTTGTACATAACGCGGTTTATTACACAATTGAAGATAATTTTCGAATGGTCAAGTTACATACCTCTTACTAACCGAGCTCGAGATTTGTACTCTAAGTTACGCACCGCGTTTTTTCCGCTCGGATTTATAGTAAGAGCAAAAAAAACGAGGGTTCGTTACTTATATCTCTGGACTCTGGGTTCAAGTAGAGGGGAAAGATTTCATAGCAAAGAAACTTTTGAATTCAGCGGGCCATACAGTGAAATACGGCCCACTAAATTGACCAAACGAACCACGCGTACCCCATCTCCACGGAAATAGAAAAAGTCAGGTAATTATACCATTACGTCACACAATCTTACCATTTTTCTAATCATGACAAGTTTGGGACCGAGCTGTCTGTTGACAGAAACGATCTGAAGGGAACGCACGATAAACACTATTATATTCAGTGAAAATATGATCCGGGCAGCTTCATAGGTTGAATCAAAAAAGCGCAGACATGCTGCAACCACAAAAGCCAGGAGTGCAAATGTGTCCACGAGATTCCACGTGTCACTGAAGTAAACACTAAGTTTGTCACCAAGGGTCTTCGGTTGTTGAGCCGCCAGCTGATTAAAAGAAAAGAACAGAAAAAAAATCATCAGATAAAGATTAAAAATTAGTAAATTACGGAGAGAAACTTTTCTAAGGTAAAAGTCGGCATCTTTTGTGCCCTTCAACTTTGAAATCAAGACTAATTCGGGCCGTTGTGAGCTACAGGTAGCGCAACTAAACATTCGTCAAGTTTTATCTCGGAAAGTAGTGAGCCACAGGTAGATCAACCGTAAATTATTTAAGTTTCCCTGTCAGTTTACACTCCTGAGCAGAGAGAGGTATTGCGATAGAAAAGATTAATTCCTTAGAATATCTTAGGATACAACAAAACATCGACCTATCATTCCAGAGTACACCAAACTAAACACTCAGCCATTTAATTTTCACACGTAATAGTTCGGTGCTGTGTGATCATGGATTAAACATCACGCTAGACTGTCATGTGACCTATTGTGTGCCTTGACCATGTGACATAATACTTGTCATGATCACGTGATGTCATCCTATGACGTCATCGTGTTACCCACCTGTCTAATTTCTTCCATTATGATAGTGAGGATCCAGAAGTAAAGAACAAATTCCACCACACTTAATCCGCCGAGAGTCTTGGACGAGTCAAATTTCGGGAAGTACATCGTGATTACGTAACCATAAAGCAAGATGAATGCTATGTAAGACACCTGCAAATGTGACATCAAATGGATGAAAAACTTTCAAAGTTGGGATATGTCGTTAAGGTATTATGTGTAAAAGCTTACCAAATTTCCCATAAACTTAGTGAACGGCGCTGAGTAAAAGGATGTGATTCTATCATAAAAAGTCATGTCTGTGGATCGCATCATATGCTCCATAGAATGATCTTCTTGAAGCTCTGTAAAAAAAAAAAAATGTTTAAATGAGTTGAGAAAATATTTTATTCTATAAATATTGTATTCTATCCAATGACAATTTGGATTAATGTCAGTTTCTGAGCAACTACGCACCTACCCCTCCCCTAACCCAGCAACAATCAACTGATAACAACAAAGGGTTAATGTGAGGTTAGGGGAGGGGTAGGTGTGTAGTTGTTCAGATACTGACATTGATCTGATAATTTCAGGGGCTAAAGAACTATTTTAATTGTTTCATAAAGCTTACATCAGTTTCACGGG